CAAGGAAATGTTATGCAATCATGAACGAGATAACTAAGTACCTAGTTCTTTCTTAAAGATTTGGATAGTGCAAAAAAAATGGAAAGAATTTGGAGGGGGAATCGTGGTCATAGATAGAGATACTTGTGTGCTGTTTGCTTGGGAATTTGCGCAGTCCTAACTTATTTGTCCATCTCAGTGACCTGGAAAAGGAAGGTGGATTTTCAGAAGGAAGGGTTACTGTTTGTGTGATGGGAAGAGCAGGGTCTTGTACAGAGGACCTTTAAGATCATCAAGTCCAACCATTAAACGACCACTGCCAAGTTACCACTAAACCGTGTCGCTCAGTCCCACGTCTACACATCTTTTAAATGCCTCCAGCGGTGGGGACTCAACCACTTCCCTGGGCAGCCTGTTCCAATGCTTCACAACCCTTTCAGTGAAGAATTTTTCCTAATATCCATCCTAAACTTCCCCTGGCACAACTTGAGGCCATTTCCTCTTGTCATATCGCCCGTTACTTGGGAGGAGAGACTGACTCCCAACTTTCTACACTCTCCTTTCAGGGACTTGTAGAGAGCGAGGTCTCCCCTCAGCCTCCTTTTCTCCAGGCTGAACACCCCCAGTTCCGTGAGCTGCTTCTCTTCACCAGCTTCATTGCCCTTCTTTGAACATGCTCCAACCCAGCCCAATCCAATCCACCAACCCTGCTCCTGTAAGCTGGAGCAGTTTTCAGTGTTTGATAGCTGTGGTTTTATGAAAGCATTTTCCTCGCCAGGGTGAGATGTTGTGTGTTTCGTAGACCAAACACACCAGCCACAGCCACCTGGGGTAGTGGAAGAGGTGTAAGGTAATAGCATTACCTCATGTTTTCTGTGGTTAAAGTCCCGCACACGGAGATGGTAGTCGCAGCTTAGCTGCTGGGTGGTAACTTGCTACGACTTGACGTCTGCAACTGGGCCTGCAGCCCAAGGAGGGGAAAAATAACAAGGTGGTTGACTAGCTGTTGTAGTTTTCTGGCTAATAGGTGTTCTCAAAAATACGTTCAGAGCGTTTCTTTAAAAGCTCCTTCTCCTGCACCCCAGAAAGATGAATAATGGTTCATCAGATACTTCTCGGGGCCGTTCTTCTCCATACTCAAATTTAAGTTTGTCTTTATGGGCCTTAATGCCCCAGAGCCTGTGTGGTTTGGGTGATAAGGCCACATTTTTTCCATTCGGCTTAATTAAGCATAGGTTTCCCGCAGGCGTGCTGCTGCTGTGTGTTTGCACAGTGGCAGACACTAATTGTGGCAGCTGTATGAGTTGACGGAGCGTAGCAGATTTTGGCAGCCGGGCAGGGAAGACTGAGCAAAGCTGGCTGAAATTTGTTGAAATGCAGAGAATTTGCCTCGGTGCTGGGAGGATTTGCTCTGGGTGAGGCAATGCCAGTCCTCGGGCTGGATCTGGTTCAGGTGACAGTGGTGGGGCTGCGGGTGCTAACGAAGCTGTGCCGCTGTGAGTTGGCTCCCGCCAAGGTTAGCTGGTGATTTCAGTGTGCACGGTCCCGCAGGCTTAATTGGTGCAAATTAGACAACAACAAGGTGCTTTTCTCACACCGAATGTTTGCTAGCAGTCTGTCAGAAGGCCTTTTGAGCACCCTACCTGTGTCCTGCTATTCCATTTATCCCTCAAGGAGAGCTTTCTCAAAGCAACGATGATGGTTTCAAAGATCAGGAGAGGTTCAGGTGAGGCTGTGGTGGAAGGAAGGGCAGAAAGGAGCCACCAAACATTGGTCCCCTCTTTGCTTAGAGTGCCTAGGCCTGGCTTTGTGGTGGTGGCTCAAATTTACATCTGGTTTAAAGCTGCTTTTAAAAAAATCAAACATATATACATATTTAACTTTAAAGCCACCCTTGCACCCCACATTTCTGGGTTGTGTTGCTTCTCTGGGGAGGGCTGTGCAGGATCTGTCTCCTGTTACGGGCTCTCTTTGGCTTGACACATGAGAAACAGCCTCTCTCTGTGCTAGCATCCCTCCAAAGCCTTTGCAGACCAGCCTGTTCCCTTTGAGTCTTCTTTCTCCATGCAGGATCCACCCAGCCAAAAACAATAAAACATAAAACTGGAAAGAGAAAAAAAAAAAAAGGACCTTTTGTGATTTTTGTCTTTTGCTGCCAGTTGGCTGCACAACTTGAAACTACTCAAATGCTCTTTTTTTTTTTTTCTCCTCTCAAGATCCATTCAAATGTGTTACTCTTTAAATTGCAGCAGGGATGTCTGTGAATAACTCTCAGACCCAGAGCGACAGTCTGGGGAATGCGGAGCTGGTCTCCTCCTCGAGCACTAGATGGAGGAACAGTCTCACTAAAACCTTGCTTTTTTTTTGGCGGGGGGAACAAAAGCTTTCTGTGGTCTCCGTACAGACCCAGGGCAACACAGCTTGGGTGTGAGTTTGTGCTACAGGGTTTAATGAGGCGCCGAGGCCCCGCAACTGGCCTTTGCCTGGGGCCAGAGGTTCTCTTTTAAAATCTCCAACGTGGCGAGTACAAAAGGCAGATGGGCAAAGGAGAGCAAGGTGACATGTGTGGAAGATGGTTGCTGTACATTTAGGCTGTGTGACCGTGTGGGGTGTATTTGTCCAGGTGTTGGCACGGCTGTGAGGGAGGGGAGAACTGCCCCGTGCCGGGCATGACCGGTTCCACAGCGGCCATGCCACAGCCCGTCAGTGCCTCTCTGGAAACATGTAAAAGGCAGGGTCAAAAATGCCAGGCAGGAGTGAGAAGGGATTAAAAAAATGTGAGAAACAGAAATGTGGACCCCAAGGTCAGTGAGGATGGTGAGGGAGGTGCTGGAGCCAGGGAGATGTTCCCTGAAAGGAATCGTGGCCTGTGGAAGCCCCGTGTAGGAGTGAGTTCTCCTGATGGGAGCCGTGGCCTGTGGAAGCCCCATGTAGGAGAAGGTTCTTCTGACAGGAACAGTGGGCTGTGGAAGCCCCACGTTAGGAGAAGGTTCTCCTGACAGGAGCCATGGGCTGTGGAAGCCCCATGTAGGAGAAGATTCTCCTGGCAGGAATCACAGCCTGTGGAGGCCCCTCACATGGGAAAAGCATGATGAAGAGGGAGCTGTGGAGAGGTCCTGACCATACCTCTCCTGGTTCCCCATCCTAATTCCCTCTTTAATACCTCAGGGGGGAGGTAGAGCCATCGGGAGTGGAGGAGGGAAGTTGAGACATGGGAAAGAGGGGGTAGGTGGTGTAAGGTGGTGTGTTACTTTTATCTTTGTTTCTCATTATCCAAATCGATTTCAATTGGCAATAAATCAAAATTATTTTTTCCCAAGTCAAGTCTGTTTTGCCTGTCTGTTGTGCCTTGTCCATGAGGTGTCCAGGGCAAGAGCTGCTGCATTAATAATTTTAGTTTTAATAGAACTAGTGAGTGTAATGAGGGTTTTTTAATAGATATGGAGACTGTTCATAGAGCAGTAAGAGTGAAATGGGTGACAGCGGGAGTGAGCTTCATGCCTAGTGTCAGAGCACTGCAGTGTGATTGCCTGTTCTCCCTCTGGTCGGGGAAAATGGGGAGTTTTTCCATTGTCAAACCCAAGTCTCTGGGGCTGTACCCCTTCTTGTTCCCACTTTTGCTTCCTTCCTCCTCCTGAGAGTAGGATTGGGAATTGAGGGAATTTAACCCTGTTTAGTGCCTGACATGTAGTTCTGCATGGTGGCAAGGCAGACAGCAGACCCAGGACCACCTTATGAAGCTGTAGCAGCGAGACAGGGCAGAGGTGCACCTGTGGAAGGGAAACGTCTGTATAAGCAGGAGTTCAAATGTATTCCCATACAGGGTTTGGAGCGGTTCCCGTTGCTGTTGCATGTGGGGTACTTGTAGTTTTAATCCTGTTCGCTTAGGGTGGGACTCACTTGAGGGGAACATGTGTGTTGTGTGTAGCATTGAGTGGTGGCCAAGCAGCTTTCAGTTCGCAGTCTGGTTGCAGTGAGGAATTCCCACGCTGGTGCCATAGCTATAGCAGGAAAAACCTGGCTTGGATATGCCGTGGGGTTTCTGATACTGTTGTATTTCAGAATTGCGTCGGTTCCAGGAAAAGGCTCATCCTGACTTTTCTTTGAATGCCTGCCTGAAGAGACTGAACTCGTTGGGAGTGCGTTGCCGCTTGCTGGCAGATGGGGCTGGGGAGGATGACAGAGACATGTGCAGGGATGCCTTACTGTAATTTCCTCTTTTGCTCTCTGTCGCGTACTCTGACGTGTTTAGTCCTAGCAATTTGCAAAATGAAGATTTATGATTTATGGTGTTCTGCGTATACCTTGTGGTAACTTTATTAATGCAGGAAGTTTATTTGTGGTCAGTAGATCTTCAGTTATTTAAATCAGATTTAAGTTGCTTTAAAATTTATACAGTCTGGGAGCAAAATTTCAGCCTCGCTGAAATCCATGGCAAAACCACCACTGCCACTGGGAATAGATTTGACCTGTGATGCTTTAACAAGTGTGTCTTCTGAAAAACCTTTCTGCTCCTAATTGCATCCCTTTGTTCTTTTTTCCTTTAGTCTTGTGAGGAGAACAATCTGAAGACAATGCATCCGTGACCCCTGATACCAGCTTGCGAGTCAGGGCGATGGAAGTTATAGAGGGCCGCCGGCATCCTGCTCCTGTGGTAGCTCCAAATGGATACGCAAACAGGATTTTCCAAGCAAACATGGATGGAGGGAGTACTGACGCGCTGGAGGTCTGTGGTGCTGAGCACTGCACCTCCAGCGATGCAATCCCGAGTGAACGGGAGGAAGCGCCCAGGTATAAGAAGGTGACCAAGGGCAACCGGATCTGGAATTTCGTTAGACGAAGGAAAGGACTCTCTACAAATAAAGAAAGACCCCAGTCCATGATCTTACTGGGAGTTTCCTCTGAGGTCTCAGAATTAAAAAAACCATCCTTCATGGACAGGGTAAGGCCCTCAAAAAAGGGAAGAACCTCCAGAACGCCGAAGAATGCTGATTTGAGAGCATCCGGAGTCCAGGTTGCTTGTGACCCTGATGAGGACCATCATGCCGGTGGGCAAAGAGCTGTCTACAGGGTTAAGAAACTGGGTGACAGTCGGAGACCCTCCCGCCACTCGTATGCGGGGTACATTGATGATTTAGATTCTTCTTTTGAAGACATAGAGCTGAATATCAGCATTCCTGAAATTGATGCCAATGAAAGTAAATGTCTCAGGGATATTAGTGCCAGATTACACAGCGAAGATAATGATACTAACTGCCATAGAACACCAGCTAGAAAGAGCGAATCTTTGAATTTTGAAAACTTTAAGAGTCCTGCAATTACAGAGGGGGGCAATCAAAAGAGGTGTATTGTGCTCCCACAGGAGAGCAGAAGAGGAAGGAGCTCTGATGTCTGGAGCTATCTGAAAGGAATTTCATTAACTAGCAAAGATAATTCAAAGCTTTCAGATCAAAGGGCTGAAACCAATTTCCAGAACTTAGAAAATATAACTGATCATTCTACTTCTTATTTGGACTTTGATACGAGATGTGAGGAGAATCTCAGCCAGCGGAAAAAATCAAACAGCACGACCAAAGCCACTCACTTTGGGGGTGTTGTGAGGTTCTTCACCAGCGTGGCTGAGGCAGCTCGGAGGCTGCGAGGCTCCTCAAGGGGATTTTCACCTGATGAGAAAAGGCCTCAGCGGAGTTTCCGAAGCTGGAAGCAGGATGTTACCTCCCACAAAGAGGGCTTGGTTATTGAGAACGAGAGTGCAAGGGCCTTCTGCACAGTGGGAGCGTGTCTGCAGTCCCCGGATTCAGGCACATGGGAGAATCTGAGCTTTGAGAGTTTGGTGGGGAAGGAGCCCATGCAGCATTGCAAATCCACAGAAGTGCCACAAGACATTGGTTCCTCTGCCCTGGGTGGCGAGAATGACAAGTTTAATGAAACATCACTTGCCCCCTTTGGGCCAGAACTATCCATCTCCCACCCACCAGAGCTCGCAGATCGCTCTTTCACTGAGTTAAACACTAAAGACCTGTCTGAGGATCTGATCGACTTTCCACAGACGCCTCAGACTAAACAGATTCAGGATTTGGGCAGTACTCCAGAGAAGACAGAGGTCCTGGGCAGGGACCGGCCGTGTTCTGAAGGTCTTCCTGTGAACAACTTGGATACTGCGGACCTGGGCCATTCTCCAGCTGCAGATGGTGACTCTTCTGCAGTGACTGAGGCTCTGATCCACCTTCCACAGACATCACTGACTAAACTTGATACTGAGGATGTGGCTTGTGCTCCAGTGCTTGCCAAAGACATGGACCTGTCTCCAGCAGAGGCTCAGGAGCTTTCAAAGACAGAACTGGATACACAGGACTTGAGAAATCCTGAGCTGCCTTTGCAAGACTTGTCCAGAGGTGAGCTGGGGATTCAGGACTCAGACAGTACTCTGGAGATGACAGAGGTCATGAGCAGGGACTTGCCATATTCTCAAGGTCTTCCTGTGAATAATCTGGGTGCTGCAGACCTGGGCCATTCTCCAGCTGCAGATGGTGATTCTTCAGCAGTGGCTGAGGCTCTGATCCATCTTCCACAGACAACCCTTGCTAAACTTGATACTGAGGACACGGCTTGTTCTCCAGGGGTTGCTGAAGAGATGGATCCATCTCCAGCAGCGGCTCAAGAGCTTTCAAAGACAGAACTGGATACGCAGGACTTGAGAAATCCTGAGCTGTCTTTGCAAGACTTGTCCAGAGGTGAGCTGGGGACTCAGGACACTGGCAGTACTCTGGAGACAACAGAGGTCGTGGATATGGACCTGCCAGGTTCTCAAGATCTTCCTGTAAATAATCTGGATACTGTGGACTTGGGCCATTCTCCAGCTGCAGATGGTGACTTTTCTCCAGTGACTGAGGTTTTGATTGACCTCCCACAGCCAACCCTGGCTGAAGAGATTGAAGACACTGGGATTGCTCTGGAGAAGACAGAGGCCATGGATAGGGACCTGCTACATTCTCAAGATCTTCCTGTGAATAGTCTGGATGCTGCAGACCTGGGCTGTTCTCCAGTTGCTGGTGTTGACTTTTCTGTAGTGACTTTTTTAAAATGTTCCACAGTTAAAGGGCAGGTTTTACAGCAGACTGATTGCCGCATTAAAAAGCGCGGAGCCGCTTCGTTTGTAGAACAGAACTCTGTAGAGATAACGGACACAGGGGAACAGTTTAACTGTAACAACGAGTGTCGTCCTTTCCAAGTGCACGTTTCTAGAATTGTCTCCTCTGGACGGCTCAAAAACGGAAAGGTATGAGTAACTTCTACTGTAGTGAATAAGACCATGCTGTTATACATCTTACGAAGATGGTTTGCACTTGAGAGCGTTTTTGTGTATCTGTCATAGGGATTTTCAGTTCAGCAGACCGACATATGAATGATGGCAGCAGGCACAGCTTTTATATCAGTCTGAGGGGAGTCAGTGAACTGGTGTATCTCAGGGTCTGGTCAGAGCTGCCTTGCATCTGTCTCTACACAAAATGACACTGCCCTTTGGGATATTAAATACCCAGCCCTGAGTGAAAGGTGGGCGATAGTGGTGGCTCTAATTACGGCAGCGCATTCCTATTTATTATAAGCAAGTCTTTCAAAGCCCTTAAAGTTTAAAATTGTCAAAACATTCAAGTGGACGTAGCTTTTTGGAGGAGGTTCTGGGTAGTACAAATTTGTATTGTCCAGTTTAACACTGGGAAACCTGGGAAGTGCCATGGATGAGGGAGGTGTATGTGCGGGATGAGGGAGGTGTATGCGTGGGATGAGGAGAGGCCTCCTGAAGCCCACAGACTCCCTTGTTAACTCTCAGCCCATGGCTGTAGCACCCACACACATCTCTGTGCGTGGAGCAGAAGTCAGAGGGCGGTAGCAGTCGTATCGGCTGTGCCACCATGCCCCAGCATTGTGTCTCACAGGAGAGTGGGTTTTGTACCCTGCTCAGCCACCGAAGGCTCTACTGAGGCTCATGTCGCTCCATGCCAGTTGTGGAACTGGTACAGATTTGTGGACAAACCATGGTAGGACCCAGTGTGAAGCCCAGGTGTTTTCCTTTGGGTCCCTGCTCATTAGCTGAGGCTGAAGTGATTATTGTTATTTTTTTTTAAGGTGACAGGTAGGGAAGTTGGGTCAATTCATGATGAAACTTTCTCCTTCCCTTTTGGGCTTGGAGAGACCAGAGATGTTACAGAGGTGGTGACATTGCTGCCTGTTGGAAAAGGGGTCACTGTAACTTCTGAGCCAGGAGGGGAAGTGTTTGAAAATTGGCAGCAGATTAGAAATACTGGGGGGAAAAAAAATCTGAACTTCTGACTCCCAGCTAAAATGGGCAGTACCATTGTTAGTTATTCCTGGACTTGTTTTTCTGCTCCATTTTGTGTAATACAATAAAATAAAGACAGTTCCAGGCACTTATGAAGTGGGGTGACTAGCGGTTAGTCACTTCTTGTGGTGTCTGGAAGAAATGTTTTTAGAGGGAGGTTGAATGAGAGGGCTGTGGTTTGATATCCCTTCACACAGACCAAACTGAAAGTATTCCAGGCAGGGACCAGATAACAGAGGCACGAAAGGATTGAGTGGAGCAGAGGAAAATATTGGCACTCTTTTCCTGGAGCAGCCACGTCTCTGCTAGCCGAGGGCAATGGCTGCAGGCCTCATCGCAGAGCGCTTGGGGCAAAATGTGAGCCATTTCCCAGGTCAGCTGTGTGAACAGGAGATGCGGTAAGCCCCAGCTCAGCTGTTGCAGCTTACAAACATTACCAAGAAACTTAAATATGGTGCTTGAGATAACTGGACAGGAAACCTCCCCCGAGTTCCCGTCGAGTGTGGCGATAGCAGTGTGACCTCCGGGCTGCCGTGGCTTCCGGCTTCACGGAAGGCCTGAAGCCTGGCCGGGCAGCAGCGGGATGGAAGGGAAAGCGTCCGGCCCACTGTGGTTTGTAAACACCTTCTGCATCCCAGAAACTCAGCCTAGAGATTTAGAAACGACCTGGCGGCAGCATCAAACCCAGAGAAGTCAGGAGTGAGGCTGGAAGAGGGATGCTCTTGGGTAGGAATGGACCTAGAGAGTCTGCCAGCAGCTCCCGTAACAAATGTCTCTGAGATACCCGAGGGATTTGCTTGTCTATCTGTCATCAGGGAGCGGCACTCGGAAACGTTTTACCAAAAATAAACATGCAAGAGGAATAACTTCAGCCGGAGCGTGACAGCAGCAGCAACGTCCAGTCTCTTATTGTTTTAGGGCTAAATCCAGGTCCTTGCTGGCACCTGTTCCCCAGGACAGTTGTTGGACCTCCTGCCTCTGTATTAATTGAAGGATCTGGATTTCGAGTGAAACGCTCAGCCACAAGTAGGGAGAAGGTTCTGCCAGGATGGGGTGGGGTGGCTTGGCTTGGCCAGCAGCTGTAAGCAAGCGCTGTGGCAGTTTTAAAGTGTGCTAGCAGTGTAGAGAGGAAATAGCTCCAGGGAATATTTTTAAAAGAACCTACACGTTATCCCACAAAAAGCACAAAAGCAGCGGCTCTCACTGAGACTCCCTGCCCAAACCTGTTGGGAGGTGGTGTGACAGACTGGTGGAGCACAGAGGATAGTGGAATGGGATTCAGGGGACCTGTACGTTGGTCCTAGCAGTGCAGTAAATCTGTTTAGTGGTACCCTCCTGCAGTTAATGCCCCTGCTTCTTGCCTTCCTAGCCTTGCCTTTTAAAATTTTAATGTCTTTGGGCAGGAGCTGAGTGATGTTATAGGCAAGTAACAGCTCAACGGGATCTGATCTTACTGCTATAAAGGAAATAGCAGTGCAGCAGCATTTAATAAAAAGGGCCACTGTAGAAAGGTAGAAAGAAAAGCATGCACTTCTCAAACTGTCCTCCTGCCTAGCTGCTTTCAGACCCCATCCCAAGTTCTTGTTTGTCCCAGGAACTTGAGAAACAGAGGAGATAAAAACATTTTCAAGAATCGAAAGAACAGTCAAGGTCAAAATAGATTGTCAATGGGAAATGAATTACTGGTTTCACCATTCAGTGGAACTCTGCAACAAAAGTGCCTTCCTTATTTTGAGAGATAGATAAGGGAAATTGACTGAAAGATGATACAGAGGTTTTACTAGATTCTGAACAGTTGCGAACTATAAAAGTTTCCATTTCCTGTGTGCCTGGTGAAGGGAATTACCCTCACCCCACCTCTAAAAACACCACAGCACCCCAGGAGGGAGAATGCAGCTGCAGGGAGTCAGGCATAGCCCCAGCAGCTCTATTTGGCCCCTGCCAGTAGCTTGAGATGATGCTTAGGAGGAAGGAAGCTTTGATACCACATAGGCTACTTTGCGGTTGCGGCTTTCCTGTCGGGGTTTCAAACCATCTGATGTGTCCTTGGACAGGGTTTGTGGGGGATTTGATACCTCCTTTGGGAATGACATGAGGAAAGGTTGCAAAATACGCCTCTGACTTCATATTCCAGGCCTCAGTTTAGAGTTTTTAGGACCCAGAAACTTGATTGAGGCTCATTGCTGGCCGAGGGGTCCTCCCGGCTCGTCCCAGGGGCACCCGCACAGGACTGGGCACCGCAGAGCGTTTGGGTTTGTGTCACTCATGCAGTGAAGGAGCAGAGGGTTCTCACTGCAGTCTTTCTATGCCCTCTGCTGGCTTATTTGTGAAATAAGAGTTTATTTTTCTGGAACAGAAAACATTACCTTTTTCCTTAAGATTTTGAATTTTATCTCCAGAAGCTTTACAGACTGTAGCTTGCCGCTGGCTGGGTGGCTGCACATAGGCACCAGTTGGGTTTGAGGCATTTGTGATGCCATTTTCTGGGGGAATTATGATGGCCAGAAGTGTGAAAATGACACTCCTACAGGCTTGTCAACCTGGGCAAAAGTTGTTTGTCCCATAGGATGAGGTCCCAGGCTGACCTGGGGTGCCCCAGGTGTCCCAGCCAGTTTGGTTTCCGAGCCCTGGAGCGGGCTGTCTGATCAAACTCACTTCTCAGCATCACAGCAGATGGTTGTAGGTGTTTCTCTTGAGCGGCTGTTGAGTTTGTTTGTCCGAGTCCCATACTTGGGAGCCAACCTGTCCAGGTGCCATAAAGGCACTCCCTGCCGGTGGCACAGGACTGGTGCTTTCGTGGTGTTGTGAGGTTTTGTGATTCCTGTGCAATAGCTTCACGCTGTGTTGCTCCGTGTGGGAAAATCAGAGACTCTCCCAGTGCGGTGGGTCCAACTGGAAGCACAGGATTACTGATTTGCCTGAGTGTGTGCTTGCCAGGGGATGCGTGTGCAGATTTGTGATCAGATAGCTGGGGCACATCTCAGATCCTCCCACAGCTTTGGAGTTTTACTTCAGTCCAGCGGCTGCTTCCCGAGATGAAGATACAGCAACTTTCTTTTTCTGTGTTTGATGAGGAATTGCAAGTGAAGTGCAACAAGTTCTTGTGGTGACCTTTAGCTTGAGATTGTTTTATTGTCTTTCTGCTACAGAACATTTTGGGAGCAGCTGCAGAAAGGGGACTGCTGAGTCCGTTTGTCTTTTCCCTCCCTGCTCTCTTGAATGGCACTAACCAGGAAAAAGGGTATTTCTGAGAGCTCTCTTCATCTCCTGGTTACTGGCAGTAAACTGGTTTGTGTCTCAGCCTTCTGCTGGTAGTTGTGCTTACAAAAGACTTCATAGTCCTTCCAAATTAAGAAATAGTACTTTAGTGTCTAAATCCTACTGTTGTCAAAAGAGCACAATACTCCTGTCTGGAGCGAGGTACAGTTTAGTTGCAGAATGAGGATTCTGTGTATTTATGGCTTTTAATATGGTTATGTCTGACAATCATCTTATTTTTAGAGGAGACAAAACCTCTAAAGCCTATCTCCAAGCTGTTCAGATTTTTGTGTTTTTAATAACCATGAGGTGCTAGCAAAATCTTGAATTAAAGCCTATATTTAGTGCTATCTATAGTGGGGTAGAGGTTTTTTTGGGAAACATATTTTTAGCATTGTCAGGGAAAGGCAGGTTGAGTTTGCAAAGCTGATAGGCTTTATACGTATATATAACCAGCCACGGAACGCATGGATAAGTCAGATTTCCACGTGTTTTCTTAAAATCCTTGTTGGGTCTTGCCTCAAAGTTACAACAGGCCACCTTGGTGCCATCAGAGTAGTGATATGAATGGGGACCTCTGGGCATTGCTGGCCTATATGCTAGGGGACTGTGAGTCCAAAAGTTCTCTGGGTGAAAGATTTTCTTGGCTTTTACCTCCTCCCAGCAGTTACCCAGTCAAGAGAAGCGTACTGGGTCACGGGACACAGTACTGGTGCTGGGAACTGGGAATGGGAGATCGAGCCTTAATTCATCCACAGGCTCTCACAGTGCCTTTTGGGTAATTACAGCCTGTCTGCTTCGTTCTTCATCTGTAAATAAAGATAATAGCACATCAGTGAGAACTGGGGCTGCTGAAGTCGTGAGGACAGATAGACTAAACCATAAGAGGCACCCAGTTATTAGCGGGGCCGTGGAAGTATGACGAGTCTGTCTCTAAATGAGGCTGGAAGCCTCCCAGTGAGGAGCCCTCCTGTTTTCTTCTCCCGACCTTTGTAAATTGAGTTTTCAGCTGATTTCTTGGCTCTAAGATTATACACAAGACTTCCATGGTGTCACATGTCACAGAACATAAAATGAAAAGTAGGAGTTTCAATTGTGATTTTTTTTTTAAAAGAAAATTCCATTCTGCAAAATATCACGGTACAAGTTGTCTCTTTCAGCATCTTTTCCTCCTGAAATAGAGTAACAGAAGTTGGAGTCACCCAACAGCGAGGGAAACTCCAATGTTTTTCTCCAGTTAGTTATAAATGCTAATTCATTCTTTGGATTAAAGTCACCAAACGTTAAGCTATAACTGAGGTATTTGGCTGTTTTATGGGTGCTTCAATCAATTGTAAGGATCTTACTGTTTCAAGTAATATTTTGTAGGCTGTTGATACAGAGGATGTCTCGTTAGAAGTTGTTACCAGTCAGCTGTCTGCCTTCACTGTGCTTTGAATGCACTAATTGCTCTTAACGACCCTAAGCAGTCTCACCTGGTGCCTCCACACCACACCCATGGGCCTGGCAGCCCGTTTAAGCTCTGCTCTGGGTTCTCAGTCCTTCCTTGAGCAAGGAGGGAGAAGTGCTGATCTCCAGCTCAGTCACTGGTGACCAGCTCAACCTTGCTGGGCTGGACACCAACCTGGAGCCCGATTTCCTGACTTTATCTTGGAGCTAGATCACCACCATGGACTTGCCCAATGATGGCAGGGCTTTGTCTGACCCTGATCTCCAAACTGACTCACCTGCTTTACCTTGGACCTGCTTCATCACCGTGAGTGTGCCTAATGATCTGAAGTCTAACTGACCCTGGCCACCATCTCCAGACCTGGCCTGGTGCCTTGCTTTGGGCACTGTGGCATGGGGCTGGTGGCTGAGGCACCATCCTGCCAACCAGGTTATCTCTTTAGCTGCTGGGTTGCTGTCCCTTAGAAGACAACCCAAAATGTTATAGCTCGTACTGGGTCCTCGGCACCAGCTAATTCCCTCCCTACGTGTGCTCCTGCTGGGGCCTGGTAATGTGTGAGTAGACACAATGCTGCCCAGAAAGCAGACATCTTCATCGCCCGTTACTCTCAGAAGTGCCTCGGAGGCTGAAGTGCCACTGGAAGTTGTTGGACTTAAACACTGTGAGCTGTGCTTGAGGTGTGAACCCCACACAGTGGGAGTTAGGGCGCTCCAACACCAGGGTCTGCAAGTCTTAATCTTTCAGATAAAAAAAAAAGAAGTGGGTGCAGGTTGCAGTGAGAAAAGGTGTGTTGAAAATCTTGAAAATTACCTGTATTATTATAAGTTCTGTGATTGATTTGTCTGAGGTTTGAATGTATTGGTAAAATTCTTTTCTGACCCTTTTTTTTTGCTAGCCGATGTCTCATCCTTCACAACCATCCCCACAAGCACCACCCTTCAAAGTCCTCGTGGAGAGATGTCGCTCCGAACCCCTCTCCCAGAGCACCCCGATGGGGCTGGACCAGGTGGGAGGGCGCATGCAGCACTTGCTCCGGAGACGCGGTGAGTACCTTTGCCATGTCTTTCTCCCAGGCTTGTTTTTTGGGTTTTTTTTTTTTTTTTTTGCCTCCCCC